GGGGCTTCCAGGAAGAGGGGCAATTTCGAGTTTTCGAGGCCAGGCTGTCTGGCAGCAGCGGCGCGGCGCGGTCCTCTGCCCTCCCCACAACTTAACTCGCTGCTGCTCTAGGCCGGCCATGCTTCTCTGCGTTGTAGAGTGCATCACACGACGAAGAAGGGGTGACTTTACGAACAGAGATCACGGACCACACCTACCCACAGCCAGAACGCATCTTGTTTGGACTTATTCGCTGCTCCTGCGTTTTGTGCATTGTCGCCCGTCTACCTGTTGGGCGTTCACTACACACCTTAATCGCCTTTGGCCACACATAATGCCTTTTCTTCCTCCTGTTGGGAAATGCCTTACTGCTGCGGGTGCACTACTTCCCTCCTCGAGCCCTACGGGGGGGCCAGTGGAAGGGGGGGGGGGGGCTCATTCTCTCTGTCTCTCTTTCGCCACGCTTGTTTGTCCACGGCGGCGGGGTCACTTTGACGTGGGCGCCACGCCTGGGGGGGGGGGGGGGGGGGCTCATTCTCTCTGTCTCTCTTTCGCCACGCTTGTTTGTCCACGGCGGCGGGGTCACTTTGACGTGGGCGCCACGCCTGTTTGACGTTGGCGCGCTGCAGACGGAGACGGAGACGGGCGGGCGTTCTCTAGACTCTAGAGTCACGACGCCTGCTACCCGCCACCGCCACTATGGACGCGGATAATTTTGGACGGGTGTTATTTATAGGGCGGCCGTCCGGGGCCGCCGGGGCGGCGGCCTCCTGGGCCAGGGCCGCCGCCGGTGGAGGAGGAAGAGCAGGCGCCTCGTCGTGATGGTGCGACGGCGGTCCTTATCTACCGGCGGCTCCCGTGATGATGCTGCGTGATGGTGTTTGCCTCCGGGGGATGTGCTGTGTGCGGGTGCGGCGGGGGCGGGGGCAGGTGTGTGAGGGGCGGCGGGGGCGGCCCGCATTGAGACATGTTTGCTCGCGTCCCCTTGGTCGTGTGTACCTCGTTTTACATCGCGCCTCCTCTCTTCTCTTCCCCGGAGACTGATGTTGACCCTGGTCCAGGGGTTGCGGCAAGAGGAGCTTGGCCGCACCCCCTTTGCCCGCGCCCCCCTGGCCGCGCCCCCTAGGCGCGCGCACGCCTCCGCGCTCCTGGCCTGGTGGACCGCAGCAACAGATCAGAGCAGTCGGGTTGTTGCGCAGCAGCGCACAGTCGCGTGAACGTTGGGGTGGGCGCGGAGGGAGGGACCGGGGGCGGTGGTTGGGGGCGAACTTATTGCCTTGGGGGGATTGTTTTCGCCGTAAGGAGAGGGTGAAAAAAAGGGGGTGCGCGGGGCAGGTGAAAGAAGGGGTTGACGTGGAGATGCTGGAGAGGGGCGGGGAGGGGGGTCTCCAATGGTGTCGGGAATTTATTTAATGCTGGCTCTGGCCCGCCCGGCACTCTTCGAAGAAAATACGGGTATAAGGGGCATGCCGTGCAACAACCAGCGGTGCACTGGAGATAGGGGGGATAGCGGGGAAAACGGGAGGGAAGGAGGGAGGGAGGGAGGAAGGGAGGGAGGGAGGGAGAGAGGGAGAGGAAGAAAGAGAGAGAGGGAGAAGGAGAGAGGGAGAGGAAGGAGGAAAGAAGGAGAAAAGGAGAAAAGGAGAAGGAGAGAGGGAAAAGGAGAGAAGGAGAGAGGGGG